CACCCGTCACCCGTCACCCGTCACCCACGGAGCTCAGCCTCCAGTTCACTGAGGACGAGTCGGTGACACTTTTATCAGTTTGGTACAAAAAAAACCCCATCAACCAAACTGTAACTGTTGCTATTTTAATTTCCATATTGACATAACATTTCTTTTCATTTTGTATAAGAGACTCATTTTGTGAATTATCAAGTTATTTGTAATTTATGTTTCATGTGTAATTTTTGCATGTTTTATTATGAAAGGCTAAGGGTACTTTATTTTGAAACCTACGTTGAGCTGTCAGGCCTGTGACGTTTGCCTAACGGGAGAAAGATACGAGCATGTTCACTTCGTGACACACAGCTACCCAGTTAAGATGTTACGCTGTCGAGTTAATATCAAGGGTGTAAACTAGAGTAAGCTACACAGTTAAATATTAAAAGTTATATGGTGAAGACTGAAGATAGAAGATCTACAGATTTCCTTTCATAGCATGCAGCCAACGAGTTTCACGGTTTGCGGAGGTCTTTGGATGGTTGTGGAGAGGACAGAGACTTCAATAAACCCATTGAAGAAATCACTTGCGTCTGCACATGCTTGGGAGGGAGTCACACTCTGATTCTGACCAATGACAGATCCACAACCCTTGGACTCGAACACCTCACCTGGCATGCAGATGCAGCGGAACCCTCCAATCTGATCCAGACAGGTGGCTTCGTTCATGCAGGGGTTGGACATGCACTCGTTAATGTCCAGTTCGCACCGCGGGCCCACGTAGCCCTGCAGGCACTTGCACTGGAACGAACCCTTGGTGTTGATACACTTGCCCACGTGTTCACAGGGGTTGGGGCCTGGAAGACAGAGACAGTGGACCATCAATAAAACCATTGTGACCTTCAACCAGGATCATGTAAGAAGCTGAGTCTTTTTAATTAAATTAGATATTTCAGTCACCCAGAAATTGCAAATTACTAGCCATGCCATTTATTACACCAGTGACTCCCAACCACCGTGCTGTGGCACACTAGTGTGCTGCGGGAAATCATTAGGTGTGCTGTGGAAAATTATCCAATGTCCCAAAACTAATATTTATTTATTGCAAATAATTTTTCTTTGTTAGTCAATGTGTGACATGCAGAGCAATTAAATCCTCTTCCGCTAGGTGGCAGCAGATGGTTATTTAAACTTAGAAAAGATAATCAGAGCTGTTGAAGATCGTTGTGTCTTTCTTCAATTCCTGGAACTATATTAGCATTGTCTTCAACTAAACAGGAGTTCACTTTTTAGTAAATTTAAACTAGAATATTATTATATTTCATTACATATGCTTTTTGTGAGATTTTTGTTCAGTGGTGTGCAATGGGGGTTTTCCCGACGATATAAATGTGCTGTGGCTCAAAAAAGGTTGGGAAACACTGTATTACACACAGTACTTGCACATTGTATTTTTTGGCAGAACGTGATGGGATTTATTCAGCCTGCGAGCCTCGAGTTTGACACGTTATGTACGTGTATCTACATTAACTGTACAACTGATTACTGACACATTAACAGATTGATTCAAGCATCCAATAATTAATGGATTAATGTCATTATTGTTGTTGAGCCTGATGTCGGCATTAAGGATGGGGCTAAAACTGCTGCAGCTCTCACATGAACCAGAGCAGAAAAGAATTGCCTGAGAAATCTCTTTGATTTTAATCAGTAAAATAATTTTTTTTTGTCATCACACTAATTCCAGGAAGTGTGTGTAAATATTTACCCAGAGCACACTCATCAACATCCTGATCACAGGAAGCCCTGAAATATCCAGAGGGGCAGGTGCAAAAATGGTTTCCATTGACAGGGTTGGTGTCACAGTTGGCGCCTTTTTGACAGGGGTTACTGATGCAGGCATCTTTCAGCTGACACAGCAGACCTGGAGGAAGAACATGGAGGAGTTAACCACACATAATGACCTTGAATAACCTAAAAAAAATTGAACCCAGAAACCCTCGAACTCTGCTGCTGTGCTACTCTACTCTGAACCAAAAACCAGAAAGCAAACACTCAGAAACCTCAGGAGAAACCAAAGATCTGTGGACTTCACAGCCTTTAATTTAGCGCCTCCTTCAGCAGTGTTAATTCTTTATCCTCACACATAATTAAAACTACCTTCCCTCATTGGCTGTTAATCTACAGAAGTGCTTGTGGCGGATCCCATTGTCGATGACATAATTTCCTTTTTCAACAAGGTGAACGCAGAACTTGGAAGTTACCTGTGCGACCAATGAGACACTCATAGAAGAAGGAGGCAACGCGGTCGTGACACGTGGACCCGGTGTGGCACGCAGCGCTGGCACAGTCGTCGATGTTCTCGCTGCAGTCGTCGCCGGTCCACCCGTTGACACACACACACTGGTAGCTGCCGTAGGTGTTGTGGCACGTCCCGCCGTTTTGACAGGCGTTGGGCATCAGTTGGCACTCGTCCACGTCCTCTGTGCAGAGCTGACCTGTGGAAGGGAGGAGATGACAAGGGGGACGTGAGCCATGGTTTGTTTTTGTTTGTTTTTTTTAAAGAAAAACTTGTTAATAACTAAAACACCAACTGATTGACTGATTACAAGAACCTTTTTTATAACCTCATCAGAATTTAAGCCAAGGATTTATAGTTATATGGTAAAGTTAGTGGTTCCCTAAGTAAGGGGCAGGACCCCTACGTACAGAGTTCTTGTAGGGTGGATGTAGCCAGACAAATTATTTCAATTGTCAATATTTCCTTGTTATTTGAGCCATTTTTTTGTAGTTTCTAATTCTGGGGTAAAGTAGAGTTATGTTAGCATTCTCAGATATTTTTGGCTAACTTCTAGTGAACTTTTTAAGCTGCTTCTTTTACTTGCACATTTACAGTTTGGTTTTACAGTTGCAAGGTAATAGATACGTCAGAAATGATCGGACTGGTGTACTGAAACAGGACTAAACTCACCTGTGAACTCTGGTTTACACTGGCAGTTGTAGGTGTTGACTCCATCCACACATGTACCTCCATTTTGGCATTCGTGGTTGGGACAGTCATCGATGTTGTAGTTGCAGTTTTTACCACTAAAACCTGAGAAAGAAAAAAAAAACATGGTTGTTGTGTAACTTTGTAGTGATGTAGTGGTAGAGTATGCCTGGTTTTGTTCCTGGTATTCTCCTGATTTGAAAACAACATTCTCCCATTTACAGGTTGAAACTCGTCTACAGTTAAAATGTGACCAACTGTTTCCTTCCTGTTGGGGAACATGGCAGCTGTACCACCACTGTGTAACAACATTCACTCCATTATACAGTTACACAAGAGGAAACCGCTGGTATTAGACAGGTGAGACCAAAAAATATATAAGTGAAGTGCTTGACAACTAAACAAAAAAAAAAAAATTTACGTATCCACGCCCCACTTGGGGGAGTCTGACCCTCACTTTGTGAACCACTGGAATGTGATGATCTAACATGACAACCTCTAGAGCAGAGGGTGGCCACACTATTTTAGCTCGGAAGCTGCTATTCAAATGATGAGGCTAACGGGATCAACCTACATTGAAAATGTTAAATATATATTTATTCATATACGCTGAACACACTAAATATATACTTGTATATTTGAGTACGGACTAAATGCATGTAGCTGTATGGCAATATATGATTTAATTCTTACAGCAGATTTACATATATTTATATATTTACATATATATTTATATATATATTTTTTTTTTTTTTTTTTTTTTATTACCTATGATCTACCAGCACTATTTTTTCGATTGACTGGTAGATCGTGACCTACTCGCAGGGCTTCCCTGGTCTAGAGATATTTAAAAAGGCTTTGAATTTTCAAATAGTAACAAAGGAACAGCTCAGTCCAATGGAATGTCAACAAAAGTAAATACACAATGACAGTAGAATCTGAACTCTGTCAGTGTGAAGAGGTAGTGAGCTGAGACCAAGCAGCTCTGCCATCCCAGAAAGCATGGCTTTCGCTATGTGAAAAGGATGTTGTCCTGCTTCATCACTTCCTCATGATAAGGCCTGAAGCCTTCCTGCTGTACTTTATTCACACACACAAATACGCACACATGCACGCACATACCCAGCCAAGAATGACATCATTCCCCAAGTTCAAACTACAGATTACTATTTAAATTCAACACAGTGACACTCTCACCATGGTAACGCAAAAAGAATCACATGACTGTGCTAATTTTTGTTTATTTCAACTAAGAACTTGCTCTTTTTTTTAAACACTAAACTAAACTAAAAGAAATGTGAAGTTCTCAAAAGCTGAACTGTTTTGAATCCTGTTCTGGACATGACTAAAAAGTTGTGAACCTCCCTGGTCGTGGCTTTAAATTAATCTCACCTGGTACACAAGAGCATTCGTAGCTGGTCTTTCCTTTCTGAATGCAGGTGCCTCCGTTTTGGCAGGGTGACGGGCTGCAGGGCAGGTAGCAGCTCTCACAGTGAGTGCCCCTGTACTCCTGAGGGCACTGGCATCGGTACCCGCCAAATTCGTTGACGCACATGCCGCCGTTCTTGCAGGGTGACGGGTTCACGTTGCATTCGTTGACGTCCTGTGTGCAGGTCTTCCCCGAGAAGAATGGCGTGCAGGTGCAAACGTAATGGGACTCGATGGCACAGCACTGGCCGCCATTGGCACATAGGTTCGAGGCACAGGGGTCAGCTTGTTGGCACTGTTTACCTGAGGGTGCCAAGTCAAAATGATCACACTCACAATGACTGCAAAAAATCGTTTTGATTAAAAAAAATTAAATTGATTACTGGGGTTATTTTTTTTTTCCAAAAACCAATAACTAACCCATAAGATCAATTCAAGCAAAATTACTTTTTACTACGGTCCCCATACCTGACCATCCAGGTGGACAGCGGCACCTGTAGGCCTGGAGGCCGTCTGGCTCACAGGTGCCTCCGTTGCGACATGGTACGGTGGGGCAGGAGTTGTGGACCGGTGTCTCACAGCGACAACCAGTGTATCCTGGTTTGCAGGTGCAGCTGAAGTCCACCGTGTTCTTGCTGGCGACCCCTCGACACATGCCGCCGTTCAGGCATGGCGAGGAGATGCACGGATCGCGAAACTGGCAACGGTTTCCTACGAATCCTTGGCATCTGGGCAGAGAAAAAGAGGGGTTCAGGTTGTGAGAATGCTGCATGTGAGTAAGAACCAGGACCAAGAACAGAGAACAGAAATCAAAACACAGACCTGACCCAATGGGGAAATTCACAGTGTGAGTCTTTGCAACCCAGACAGGCTGCCACAGGGGGCGCCAAGTGTGTGGTTCCTCTGTGTATAAGGTAGGTGTGATAACCGCTACACTAAGGCATCATTAAAAAAGCAGTTAAACACCACAATGCCCAAACCACTGGCCCGGGGGCCACTTTTGGCTTGTGGACCACCCACATTTGGACTATTAGTAGATTCCAATAATAATTAAATTTAGCCCATTTTTAAATGGATTTGAATTATACCTAATAAAAGCAGTGGACATCAGGCCATTTAGTTTGCGAGCCCTGGCTCTAACCATCATTCACCAACTATTTGTCGGAGGGCTAGAATTTTCTCTGGACGGACACATTAGGTATCAGACACAAAAAAAATCACATTCTTGTCTAACATTATAATATTTAATGCAACTTTTCCAGTGGCTATCTTTTATTTATTTTTTCCCATTTGAAATTAGCATCACAAAGACAGCGAACAGTCAGTGGGGATTCCCACACACCAATATTTTCACTGATCCAATCTTCTGCACTTCAACAGTGGCGGAAGAGTTCACAGGGGTTAAGACAACACTTCAGTACTGCGTAGGCCACCTCACTTTGTCCACTACTATGCCTGTAAATCAACTGTTTGAAGCCTCAACTGATACGACTAACTATCTGTTTCCCCTGAAAGATGCCACGGTTCTTTTACAACACGGCAACATGGTCATGAGAAACTATGCTTTAAACTGGACATTCATCTTTCTGCCATGACCTCCTGAGAAAAATGTGTCGGATGCTGTAAAAAAAAGAAAAGACGAGTGGGCTGAACATCGGGCCCACTCATGTTCAGGAGGGGTGGAGGACAAACTTCTGAGGTTTCCCACAGGTTTGCGTGAGTTATAAATGTCAAAATAGAGAAAGAGAGCGAGCAAGGGAGAGAGAGAGAGAGAGACCATCACAGGGACAAATTTACACATTTACAATAACAATGGGAGAACCTGAGGCCAGTAATTGTCCCCTGTGGAAACACGGTTCTACAAAGAGGTCGGACACACAGAGGAAGCATACACATACCCACACTTTGTTCTGTCAAACAATTTTTTTCTCTATCTCCTCGGAGACACATTCTCTTGTGTCTATTTAATTCAAATGGGAAAAGCTCATCAATTTATATGCCGTATTTTCCGCACTATAAGGCGCACTTAAAAACCTGTAATTTTCTCAAAAATCGACAGTGCGCCTTATAACCCGGTGCGCCTTGTGTATTACTTCTGGTTGTGCTTACTGAGCTCAAACCGATTTTATAAAGCCAAATTACACAGCGCATCACACATGATGGCACACAACTGAAGCGCACTGGGAGCCAACAATGACGTTTAACTCTGTTATCACAATTAGAAGATGCTCAACAACAATTATTACAGTATGGTTGTACAACTCAAATCCGTGCAACGTCGCGTTGTGCCTCCCAACACCCGGACACTCTACGTTGTGTTTTTGTATTGTCGATTTACGGTGCGATACAGGACGACCCAGACACATGGCTGTCGATTTTTTCGTGGTCAAGAACTCTTTTTATTTCTCCTTTTTTTTTATCGATACAGGAAAAACACAAATTCTTTCTGCAAAACAACATCCGCACTTTGTGGATAAAATATATTCATGTGTTCATAGTTTATAGAAGTATGCAACATATATAATCATGTTTTAAAAAGATCATAAGAGATGTGCTTAAACATATAACCAGCTTGAACATAAAATGCTGCTTAAAGCTAGAACTGAAAACATGCAGATGTAGAGAAGGAGCTGCGAGGTTGAGATAAAACCAAGGTTGGTTGTGAAAAGAGGAGTACTTGGTGTGGTGGGAAACAAACTTTTAGAATAACAATTTGACAATGGCTGGATTCATAGTTAGAACACAAGGCCCCAACAACAGCACCTGGGCACGATAAGAACGGGATGAGAAACTAACGGTGTAGATACAGTTGCCAAAAAGAATGTATGACTGTGTGCAGAACAAATGAAGTCTGTATTGCTTGATATGTACCACCCCTGGATATGTGTGTCAATAAAACGAGCCTGAGTTTGTGGAGAGAGCAGGATTCAGCAGTCACCCCCCTGACTCTCCGCTGGACCCTCCCTGTGCACAGGCGAACTCGAGCAACGACTTTTGTCTTTTCTTTATACTTTGTGAAAGTTCTTGATCAACGAATCCGGGGTGGTAAAACCTTACCACAACAACTTTGGGGGCTCGTCCGGGATTCCAAGAAAAAACAGAGAGTTGATCAATAGAACCATTGGACACAAGGACCTGGTGTGAACAGACAAAGGACACGGGCCCAAAATAAGGTAAGCAGAGCTTTTCTTCTGCATTGGAAATAGCTAAATTTTAGTTGTGTCCTGAGTCCTAGTAACACCTTGTCCGTAAATTAATTTAAAAGAATACTGGGAAATATGTGTGTGAAGAAGTAAAGGTACAGAGAAATAAAGAAGTGAAATAAGAGTAAAAAGAGAAAAAGGAACAGAAGTCTAACAGGGTTAGATGTCTTTGGGTGTGGCAACCCCCACCGTACTCTGACGAGAGGCGGTTACAGCTGGGTTTGAGGCCCGGAGATTTGAGGACCCCCGAATTCTACAAGAGAAAAGAATAGAACAAGACCACTGCAAAACACATCGTGTGAATGTTGGACTACTGAAAACTGAAACACAACGGTCTCGCGTAGACAGTTGTTGAAGTAAGTGGACAGGAAATCCAAATTACTGATTTATAAAGTTTTGGTGTCAAGATTCAAGTTTACGGCTTGAATTGCTTGGACTGAGTACCAGGGACACAGCGTGCCATAGCTCTCAGTCGGCCAAAACTTAGACAGAAGAGAAAACACAATAGAGTAACAAAATAACTGTGAGTCGTTCATGCCCTGAACGACAAGACCAGCAGAATAAAAAGTCCTGTGAGTTCAAAAGCACGTTCCTTACATAAGAGAAAAGAAGCACACACAAAGGTTTATACTTTTAGCCTGAAAAGAAAGTACACGGATCCATATTTTAAATGTGTATTGTTATGTTGAAATAAATGTGTGATAATTGTGAATGAGTGGGTACTTCAAGAGTTGTTATACTGACTAGGATCAGTCTCTGAAGTAAGTGTTATTTTAACCTGTAACAGTTGTGATTAAAATTGAGAAAGTTGGTTCACCTTTGACAGCTGTGTCCGCAGAAAACTAGTTTCTGTAGAAGCTTGGCACAGTCGATGTTCACTGGGAACGCTGTGACTGATCGTTAATCACAACACCTTGTAGTTTTAAAACGTGAAACAAGACAATAAATAAATAAATAAAAACAAATAAATAAAAACAAA